TTCATCGACGTGACATAAATCACATTTAATCGTGACATGCACCAAAGATTTATCCTATATTCATTCCCCATCAATTATATTTCTTGTTAGGATAAGAAATTTCATCCGACACGCTATGATGGCAAAAATAGTCTATTTTGTTGGGATTTCTATAGTAAGAAGCTTGAATTCAACTCCAATGAATTTTTTTTTTTTTTTTTCTCTCTCTCTCTCTCCAAAACATGTTATTTGACCACCCTTTCATGCTCTCAATAGGTAAATGTTCCTATTTTTGTGTACGTATGACCCTCAATAATATCTCATTCGTTAAATTGAACATAACTAAAAAAAGTACAGAAGTTCAACATACTTATTCCTTGTTTGGTGGAGATTGAAAACAGATTTTTAGTAAATGTTGATAAGAGTTGATGACGCGCGTGGTTGAAAAACTGTGGATCCCATGAAATATGTAATTAAAATTATTTATTAACTTTGACTTAGATTAAAATTTGAATTTTAATTTCCACCAAATATGGGCTAAATATTTTATTTAGATTTTTTTGTGGACATAATAAGAAGACTAAAGCTAGCGTATTCTTGATACGTACAAAAGTATACCTACATGTGATAAAAATGTATCATATTTTATTAATCAATTTAGATTTTATGATTTGATTAGAATCTCAAGTTTTAAATTAATAAGTATATTTATTTAGGTATAAATGTATTTATTGACGCGTTTACAATATTAAAGTTTTTATCCTTAATTTTAATATTAAAATGAACGCAAATTGAAATGCACCAATCATATTTAATATATTTTATTCACGTGAAAGTTGTCTGCGATTTTAACGTCTGCAATTCCAGTTCTCATTATGCATGAACCTCAATTTACATATTAAAATAAGTTGAGATCTCATAATCTCATTTTTGAAAAGTTCAAAAATTAAACCCTAATTTCTCCATAATTTAATAAAAAAGATGAAGTTGTTACTTCAAGATTGTCACTAAGCACATGACAACATGCCCAACAAACAAAAAATTGGCTAGAATAAAAGAGACAACGTAGGTTGAATTTATGTAGTACAATGAATGGTGTATGATGGGAAATAACAAAGTCAAATAGGGTACATATTTTTATTTTCTTTTCCTATTTACTTTAGGTGATTGGATTAACATTCCTCCACTTTGTCTCCCCCTACCCACCCCCACCCCAACCCCACCCCTCTCTTACATTAGTTGGTTCACTCTTTTGTTTTCTTTACTTTTTCTTGATATGTTGCTAATGGGACACTGTCCCCCTCTACCCACCCTATCTTTGGTTGGTTTTTTCTTTACTTTTTCTCGATATGTTGGTAATGGGTGGAGGGTTCCCATCTTGTCTCCTTTTTGCCTTGTGTCATTGCTTTTGTCATAGGGAAGGAATAAATGCAAGTGCTAAGTTAATCCTATGTGGGCCCTACCTGAGCCCTGTGGGTCTACATCATTGTGGGCCCACCAGCCTGTTCTATGGCCCATCAGAATATTTGTTTGCGTGAACAAATAGAATGCTGATATGGACTTTGCTTTCATGGGCTGGTGTTGTTGAAGTGGAGACTTAGGCCCACCAGCTCTCAGCCCATTTACACGTGGAATGACAACTCACACACACACACTCTCTCTCTCTCTCTCTCACACACACACACGCGCACACATCTCTCTCATCCCAATTCACACTTTAGGTGTAACAAAATCTACTGGATCATGGAATTGAATCGAAGCCATGTTTTCAAAATCGTCTAAATCCATGTTTTGAATTAAATCAAATAGCTACAAAATTATTCAATTTCGTTTCATATATCTGAAATGAAAACAATACGAAATTATAAACTCACCGTCTCAATCTTAGTCGTAAGTTTAACTCTCCCCCCTAACCCAATGGACATTTGTGACAACTATGAGTATCATGCAAATTACTATCGACTCAAAAATATCATACGGACTGTGAACATGAGCGAAATGATTTAGTTTAAACTATGACGAAAAAGTCCATACGACTCCCTTGCTTTCTCTCTCTCTCATAACTTTGCTTGTTTAGCACACTTATCATTGCAGACAGTACCCACCTTTTGACATGATTAAACCATCCTTCCCATTTGCATGCTCTGTTCTTTTCACCATTAAAAGCTTTAACCCACAAATGGACAAAGATGCCATTGCAGTATTCTTGGTGGTTAAGACAAACCAGTAGCCTCCGCCTCCTTTTTAGGGTTTGAGGTCTGAGGATGTGATATAGGAAGAAGAAAGAGAAAATTTCTGTATCTAACTGGACACATGTTTCACTTGTTTTATGTTACTTCATTAACTATCTCGTTAGTACCTCTTTGTTGACTATTATTTTGGTCACATTTTGAAAATCGAAACTTTTCGAGAACTGTCAAAAACGAAAATTTTGAAATATTTTCGACTTTAATATTTGAAAACTATGACTAAGATTTATGTTGCATCGTGAACTTTGTTGAACTAAGGGTCTGTTTGATTAGCCACATTTTCCATGGAAAATGGAAAATTTTTTCCATTTTCCATCTTTTGCGCTGTTTGATAGCCTAAATTTTCCACGGAAAATATTTTCCCANTATAACTCAAGTGGGCTACTCCACCCAATACCAATTGGTTTTGGGATGGAACCTCACTTGGTCTTGGTGGAGTGGGCTTGGGCCCTGAGTAATTGCCCTCAATAATTCCCTACAAGATTTATGTTGCATCGTGAACTTTGTTGAACTAAGGATTCGCATAATTACAGATTTTAACCTTAATACCACAAAACGTTAGCAAGCTATTAAAAAGAACTTACATTAAAATTAAATATGTTTTTCTAAGAAAATATTAAATGATTCCTAAAATAAATATTTCACGTCTTACCTTTTTTAAAATATGTTCCCGTCTCTTGTCGATTCCCACTTCTGTTTCCCGGCCACTTAAATTATTACTCGACACACCTCATCATTTATTTCAATATCAAGAAACAAGAACATAAGATTTAGTTACGTTATAGCACGACTAATAGGTTGAGCTAGATATAACTACCTAGCAACTAATGAATTTATTTTCTCTTTTCATTTTTTTTTTTCAGTATCAATGTAGGGAATAAGTTCGTTTCAGTGTCATTCTTTATATTTTAATTTCATCACATTATTCTTGAAGTTTCATTTGAATATAATATCAATATGGAATGAACAAAGGCCTTGTTGGTCGAAGAGTAAACATTTAGCAACTGTGGATATCCAATATGGAATAAACAAAGGCCTTTTTGTTGGCCAAAGAGTAAACATTTAGTGCATGTTTGATTCCCATTAATTGGAAAAAAAAAAAAAAGGAAATGAGTTTTAAATGGTATTTTTAGGAGAACGTGTGATTAAAAAATAAGAATTTTTTTTGGAAAAACATGTAAAATATTTTATTGTGTAAATATGTCGTTAAAAATGATCTATCGCAAAATAAATTAATGGGAATCAAACAGGCCATTAGCAATTGTTATCCACGATTGCAATCCAAATGGGATTTGTTATCTTGGTCACAATAACATAGTTCAAATTTGGAAAAAATTCACAGATATTAACTATGACAAATTCAATTTTTAGGTTTTATGTTTCAAAATTCAAAACTCAAGCTATAAATAAATAATTAAATATATTAAGTTCACAATTATACAATCAATGATCACAGTTACGTACTTATAGGTCATATATTATCAAATTAATTGATCACATATTATTTCACGGTCATAAATCAAAAAAATTATAGGTCACAATTTATGTCGGTCACATATTTTCAAATTAGTTGCCGCCTCAGCTCCTCCTGTAGAGGCACTGCCTTGCGCAGCTACAGAGCTGCGCCTCCGTAAGATAGTGTTGGGGAAGGGTGGATGGTTGTGGCGAAATGGGCTTGGGGTGGAGGGGAGAGGAGTTGTGATGGAGGAGAGAGGAGTTTATGTTCAGTGTCAGTCCAATTCATGCAAAAAGAAATCAAGATCCAACATAGCCCACAGAGCCCAAAATATGACCCATCTCGATTGGTCAGGACCTGAGCAAGGCCATGCATGAGTCGACTGCTCCAGTCTCTTTTCAAAATTGGAGATTTTTTTTTATTGGAGTACAAAAACTAACCGCTCGTTTAATGTCAAACAAGCATTTGCCATTTAGGTCGCAGAACTTACATAATTGAAATAAATTAAAGTCAATTGACCAAAATGAAACTGATCTGTAAGTCAAGTGACTACAGCTTGAAAATAAAAAGAATCATTCAATAGTTCCAATTTTGAAGTTCATAATAGAGGTCCAATGACATGTTTAATAAGTAGAATCGGACCACTCTACTCACTCAAGATGAACGAAGTAGAAATCCTGCTTCATCGACATGTTTACTATGTAGAGCCAGACAATTTTGCTCAAGATGAATGAAGTTGAAACCATTTCCTTAATATATAAGAATATTTTGTACCAAGCACGTTATAAATGTGAAGAATTAATCCATATGTACAGAATGAATTTTCACAAAATTTCTACAGATGAGTCACATGGCAAGTGAGCCCCGCGTGAATTTAATATTGCCAAAAAATTAGGACCCCACGTAATTGTGTGTATTATGTAGGACTTCTATGAATTTTTCTTCTGTGAATGTAACATCATTCAAATGTAAATATTACATATTCGACTAACATTGTATAATTGTACGTCAACACGAGAAACTCTATCATTCCCTCAAAAGATAATAATCATAGATACAAACAAACTCTGCAATCTTGTTAAATACAAGCAAAGGCGAATTGTTCTAAGAGCCTCAAATTGATACAAATGCTCAAAAATGATATTAAAAGTGGAAAGGTACAAGAGGCGTACATTGGCGTGTATGAAGGTACAAGTATAACTACTATCAAGCACTTATAGAGCCTATCACAAGTAATTTTTGTGTAAAGGGCAATGGAGAAGGGATAAATACTAGAAAACATCGAATACATTTCCTTTGCATAGTAATTGGGGAAATCACCATGAAAAAGGACTTGCTCCCAACAAGAAAATTTCATTCTCTACGTCTTTTATCCATTGACAAACCCGATTGCATGTTTTTATCGCCAAAGCCTGCAACATCAAATTTACCATACATGATGACCATGAAAATGCATAATTAAAATCCCATGCACACAGTTGGGGCGTGCCTGTGCAAATTAGAATTTCACACATTAATTTTGAGAGTGGTGTCGAATATTTCTAAAGGTTCAAGAGGATATTTCAGATCATATTTATTTCTAGCTTTCCTCATCGAACCAAAGATTAAAAATAGATCGATCAACTCTACGTAATTTAATCAATCTTTTGAAAGAGACATGCAGACAGCACAAAAATGAGTAAGCAAGATATACCCAGAGTCCAGAGATAACAGGCAGTCATACGCTTTTGTCTTGCACAACAAAATCCTAAATCTTTGAATTTTTTTTTTTTAAAGAATAGCATGAGTATTAGTGTAAGACACCAGTCACAAAAACTGTGGCTTAAGGGCTCCGATTCACATAAAGACACATCATAAAGTTTTATATAATTCGATATGATGATCGAAAGCCTCAAGTATTATTTTAGTTTCAGTAACAGGCTATCAGCTATTAAAAGGTGCACAATGATAAAGAATGCATAATCTATTGATTAAATCAAGTTAAATGTCATGCCTGAGCTGGGATAGATCATCTCATCAGAATGAATTATCTTGGTCAAATCAACAAGAATGCAGCAAGGTGTGTTCACCCAAGTCTAGCTAGTACAAATTGACTTACAAGTTATAGCACATTCTTTGAAAAAAAATTATTAATTTCATAGAAGACAAACTATAGTTCATAGCTAGATATTATCTTAAGCGATAGTTCATAGCTATATATTCTCATAATCATACCTTGTCAGCAAGGGGATCAAAAGCTGCATATAGTTCAAAATCTTGTGTGACCCAGCAGAGTAGAACTGCAATGTTTAAGGATTGTAAGAAACTTTACAACCATGAATAGTAATAGAACTGCGTATAATCAATTAATTAAATTAAAAAAAGTGCTACACGAAATAGGAAACCGAAATTATGACCAATACTTTAAAAACTGGCAAGGGCATTGACCTAGGAAATGCAAATGGTCAAGGACTGAAAGGTTGTCAAAATAAATTAAATTATTTATATACCAGAAAAATTGAAAAAAGTAAGTTAATTCAAATTAACACGTATAAAACCAAAAAACAAAAGCACCCGTTAAACTTGGCTGCATTTAAATTTTCATTACATCTACATCTCATATCAATAGAAAATAAGGCAACACATACAAATAAGAATTTCAAAAGATGGTGAATTGCCTAATATATTTTTATAGCATTTTAGTGTGTTATTAAATTGAAATTAAATGAGATAGATGGAGTGAATTAGAACAAAAAATAGAAATCAAATTCAAGAAACCAATAATTTACTTTCGGCTTTAGGTTTTCTTCTACATTATTTCAACTAACAATATTCATAATTGCAAGAGCAGATTATGATTTACCAAAAAAATCATCCAATGATATTTATGTCTTTCCTTGTAGTATTTTTATCTTCCAATTATTCAACTTCTAAATTGAAAAATTAATTTCAGCTTTACATAATTACAATCTTTAAACCATTAAAACAATTAAATCCATAAAGGACTATAATTTGGGTGATTCTAAAATCAGTTTTTTATAGAAGCCAATGTGGGACAAAAAATAATTAAAAAATAAGTTTCTGATCCCACATCAGCTACCATAAAGGGGGAAAAAAGTAATAAAGTATACAAAGAATATACAGATAAAAAACTCCAGCATAAATATCTGTAAAATAAGTAGCAGAAAAGAATATCAAAGTTTGAGGTAGATATGGACAGGAAAAGACAAAACAAAATATTTTGGAATGTAAACATAAAGAATTTTTTAAAAAATAAAAAATTACTCCAACAAAAGTTGGGTGAACATTAATTCATGAAAAATATATTTGTCACAAAATTTTGATGTTCTAAGAAATAAATATTTTCTTCAGGATCAACCCGATAAACACTACAACAGTCAGATGTCTTTACACAGTTCTTTCATAGTTAAGTTTTAATGAACTTCAGCTTCCAACAGAGACATTTGGTGTACCAATGAGAAGTTCTGTGGCCATAGACCGAAAAGTTGACCAAAACTTATTGGGAATAGTTCATTATACTGTTTTCCTTGCTTTACAGTTTTATCATCATTAAAGCTAGTATAATCTTACTCTTTACTAAACCAGAGACCAAAAAAGCTTAACATAATGACGTGCACATATTTGCTACCTCTTTACCCTGCCTTTTTATGGTAAATATAAAATGTGAAATTTCTAAAATATCTCATCAATGTTTTCACAAGGACATTAATATGAATTTACTAAATAATATTCCAGAAATAAGAATTATATAGAAGTAATTTTTATGGTAAATATAAAATGTGAATTTTCTAAAATATCTCATCAATGTTTTCACAAGGACATTAATATGAATTTACTAAATAATATTCCAGAAATAAGAATTATATAGAAGTAAAATGACAAAACAATGTCAATCATGAGGTTTGGCCCCACAGCAGTGAAGTGGCGTTGAATCATTCCTGTGAAGAAAATGTCCACACTGAAATGCTGGTTCTCACTCAACAATAAAAGGACAGGATCTAACATTATCCAACATATGCGAAGAAAACCAATGAAAATCACCCAAAGTAAAGCATCAGAAAGAACGCGAATATCACCATAGTTTTCATCCCTTCTAAACTGAGTTTTATGAGGCCCAATTCCTTTATTATGCATGGATTCATAGAGTTTTTGGTAAGCCCTAAATAATCTGCAAAACAAAACACCATTTTTGCAGTCTAGGTGGAGATTATCCAGCAAAAAGAATGCATTTAGTCTTAAAAGTTCCAGTCTGACTTTAATTTGTTACCTCTTTTTCTGTCTCAAGCTGTTGATTGGCGATGAAAATTCAGATGATACATACTGGTCAAGATAAATGCTGCGATATATGAAATGCCAAAGTCCAGCAGGACCACCAATCCCAAAAAATGTCTCCCCAATTCTATCTGGGGAGTCTGTTGCAGGTCTTGGTTGATCTGGATGAGAAAACATGGTTCCGGAACGAGAAGCAGGATCAATAGGCAAATCCTCGACATGCATGCCACCATCTAGCATTGATCTTTGAACTTCACTTAGAACATTTGATTTTAGAAGAACATCTTCAATACGAATCCTACAAGATGCACCAAGATTTTTCCTATTTAGCAGTAAGTGGAAAGAACAGAACAAGATAGAAAATTATTTAAAAAATTGACGTCCATATCATCACAAGTGAGTTTCTGAAAGCATTTATTACATAAAATCTACCTGCAGTCTTTCAGATGATAAAAGGCATCTGAACTTGTAGTAAGCAATATCAAATAGGTATCGACCTGTCATCCAATGCACTTGATTCGTCATTTTTAAAAGATAGACATGATTAATGTAAATCATGGAATTAAAATCAATTTTCTTTTCCAATATCAAAGTTTACATCAATGGCCCACCAGGTAAGCGGCTCTGAATTACATAAATCATAAACATATAGTACACTTCCAGATTACCCTATTCCTTTATGGGGAAGAAAATCAATATACGAGACACAAATGTTTACATCAGAACAAACGCTCATAAAGAGGTAAATGCAATCAATGTCTAAAGTTCAAAACGGTATGAGACAATTTTAAAATATAAGCATTCCAGCAAATAAAGCAACTAATACAGTTTAACTGATAAGGTAAATAATTCAGAAGAGACGGGATAAACTTGGACTAGAAAAAAGAATGCTCAAAAATCAATATAATGTATCTAGAGCATGAGACTTTTATCAACCATTTTGATTAAATCCCGTACGTCTTTCAAATATATGCATGATCTAAAGACATTTTTCCTCCTATAAGATATAGATAGAGAAAATAAATCCATAATTTTGAAGCTTCACCAGTAAATCACTTGCAAAATGAATCCTTCATATCTGTTTTACACCTTCAAGGGCAAAATGTTCAATTTTTAAGATCTCAGCTTAGTTCATTTAAACATGCAGTTAAATCTACATTATTTGTACAAAAGACAATATCTAAATTTAGATTGACTTACATCAAAATAATGCACATAAGCATATAGAAAAGCCATGGGATTATATCGTGGCAGGCAAATGGGTGAGAAAGATTCAGACGTCCTGCACAAAATAAGAAATAATATAAGAGAAAAACATCAAACAATTCATGAAAATAAGCACCTGACAAAATCATTACATGACTTGCTACAGATACAATTCCACTTGGGAAAAATTCAGGTCAGCAGATACATTTCCCTCATTCCATGACCGTGTATGCACACGAGAAGAGATAGATAAACTTGCGTGAATTTTCTATATTAGAGATGTATCTTCTTGATGAAATGCATAACTTTCTCCTAATTGTAAAGATGGTAATTCGTAGTATTCTAGCTCCAATTAATGTTAAATAGTTGTCTCAAACATATTGAGTTTGAGGGATACGTGACTTAAAGTAACTAGGTAGCAAGTGAAGTGGAGATAAAATTAAAATAGCATCTTAAGCACAGAAAAGAAACAACCAGATAAAAACATTAGGCCATCCACAACTCCAAAAGAGATTTTGTCTCACATTTCTAATTTGATCTCATTTCCTATCCAAAATGATATGGAACTGTTGTTTATGTATCCAAGAACAGAGGAACATTCAGAATCTAGATTTACGCACTCAAAGATGAAGAGAAGTTATAGGTTTAAAAACGGACACAAATTTACTTGTGCTTGAAGAGCAAGTTAAAGGTACAAAGTAGTCAGAAAAGTGTTGCGTTAATGAAGATGCCAGCAAAATTAGATAGCAATAGTTTAGACCTAATCCATCTCCACAATATTCAAAATTCATGATCTACTCATCAACATTATGAGGTACATGGTGATATATATGACAGATATGGTGCGAAAAATGATGAAAGTTGATGATACAAGCAAAATCATTTTGATACAGGATGCAGGAGCCTATAACAATGACTCTAAGCTTGCGTATCTATAACAATAATGTTGACTGGAAATGATACAAAATGTGGCTAAGTTATTGATTCAGGAAACCTTTCTATGCACATTGCTTTGATTATTACTAAATTAAGGGACATAGGAATGTCGTTACTTGCTAGAACTCAAGGTCCCATCACTCCTTCAACAGCTAGGCACTGACACTCTTGGATGTGGTGTTTGTAGTTCATCCTGGCGATTCCCCTTCCCTTTCTAATCTTATGTCTTCAATTTTAAAAGTAGAAATGAAAGGAAATGTTGATGGTTCTTTAACTCTCCTTTCACTCAATTTATAATTGCACATGGAATTTTTGGCATGTAATCAACAACATATTTCCTTTTATTGGTTGCTCGTGATTTCATTTTAAACTTAAAAGAGTAATTGCTGAGTAGATTAATATCTAGCAACATTATTAATGTTAGTAGCCATTTTTATAAATTGGCATAAAAATTTTTTAAGGGACTGTCACGTATTTTTGAATTTAACTAGCGATTTAGTTCAGAAAGATATTTGTAGATAGATGCAATAGATGATTAAGCTGCTAAACATTATTAAAGATGGCAAAATATTTCTTGGTAAACCTTTCTAAATGGACAATATAATTTCTGGAAAATTTATATCCGAGCACTTAAGAACATCCAGCAACACTCAGAAACTAGCATGCGAGCAATATATCTGAGCTACTATGATAAAGGAAAGACGATAAGGAGTATTTAACAATTTGATGAACTTGCCTAAATGATTCAGAAGACATAACAAAATTGGAGATTAACAGCATATCATCAGGATGAAGAGAAGCTTTTTGTGCACCACAAAGACTGATAACCTGCATTTTAACTTGTGATGTGATGATTTTGACTAGAAGTTGCGAATAACCAAGAAAGTTAAAGAGAACCACAAATGTAAAAGTCGACCTTGTGTCTGCACATTAATATTGCAAATAGGATCCCTGAATCAGTTATGTCTTGCAAGATGGCACCTGCAGTCTGCCTTGTTGAATAAGCAAGGGGAAGGCATGTGTATGCATGGAGAAAAGTGGCTGGATTCCTACAATCATAATTAGCAAAACAGGTCTTAGTTGTAATCCATATGAGAGATAATTACTATCCATACATATTCACATAACTGTCACTTAACAGACAAAAACTATATACAGACAGATAGCAAACACTATAAAGGACTCGCAAGCAATTATATGACATAATTGCATCATGCCTATTCGAATAAGAATCAAACAGTTGACATTCGAATAAAAATGATGCTTCTAGTAATTTGGCTAACATAAAACTGATAAAGGTGTTATAATAATTAAAAAGAGGACCCTGAAGTCAACACAAAGTGTCAATATTTGAAATAGTCAGCTACGTAATAATCATAAAAATTTTGTTTAATGGGATCGACGTACAACAAAGAAAATAACAACCTACCTCTATGGGGTAGCTGGCAAAATTTTTTAAGAAATGAGGGAATGCAAGAGTTGCAAATAGCAAATTACATTAGTTCAACTAGTATAAGATATAGTGTATGTGATGGAGATCAGACTTATTTTGTAATCAAACAATAAGTCGATAACAATGAATTGGAACAGCTGACAAAATTTTTTAAATATGATTTTCCCACGTAATCTTTTATACGATTTTATGGCTCCCATTATCAACTTCTCCTTATGTCACAACTCAAAATACAGTCTCGACGATTATTAAGCAGTAGCATTTTTTGGCGTCACAATTTCTTTTGATTACTGATTGTTTATGTTAACACCAGCGAGACACTACACTGATATTTGGTTTTATATTAACAGGTTAAGATGCATAACAACTTACCAACCGAAAGAATGGATGAGAGAGGAGAAGACAGCATCTGTTCCTCCAAGCAAAGGTGTCATATCAAATTTGGGGTTCTTCTCAAAGCATCTATTTAAAGACTTTGTAAGGATAAGAATCATCTGTGCAGACAACACGACAAATAAATGAGGATGAGCATCCATCAGGAGTTACCCCGGTCAAATAAATACTCAGCAGAAAATACGGGAGGGAGATACTGATAATCATGAAACCTTACTAATGCGTTGTCCCATAGAAAGAAAAGTGAAGATAAAATATAAAAGGAGATTGCTACCTGATCATAGAGGAATTCCAGTTGTCCCCGTAACGATTCATAAGGCTCTTCTGTGCAGCTTATGCAAACTAAGTAAATTGGTCCTTTCACAAGAAACACTACCTGAAATGCAAACCTTGTATAAAACCATGGCCTCACCATAAGTTTTTGCCTCTCAATCTAATCCATATAAGGAACAAGCAACTCTGCGTAGTAAATTATAAGTTCAAAGAGAAGGTGATATACTAACTTGGTGTTTCCCAGCTCTTACGACTTTAACCCGATCTCCCCTAAAAGAGATCAAGAAACAAAATAAATTACTCAACCAATAAGCTGATGAGGAAAATGAAGTACGCTAAAATAGCAAGTAGCGAGCTAGCGGTCACAAGCAATGTACCCATTTTCCACAAAGGAAATGATGGCTTGCAAAGTTGCAGAGAATCCAGCTAGCTTGTGTTCATCCCCATATCTTTGACCCAATTACAAAACCAAACAAGAGAATATCATCCATAAATAATTGTACAGGAATAGTTCAGGAACTTAACAAACAATGAACAAATGCACTCCCTTCTGTACAGGGCAAAAGATAAAAAGTTTGTGTTATAATACAGACGTTTCAAGAAAGCAGTAATACAGACCTAGCATAAATGGGCTTTCCAGAGTGACTCAAAATAAAAAAGTGTTTCTTCCTTTTTCTCCATGAAATTGAAGCATCATCCTGCATTTATTAATTTAATTAAAATATATACTCCAAAGAAGGAATGAAAGAGACAATTCTATCTGAATATTAGATAACTATGATCATAAGACATGAAACACGAAGTGGCAAAATAAAATAAAATGGAGCACATGATAAAAATGGCAAATCTCGAGGCGAGGACTTTCGCTCAATGGTAAAAAAGGAGATAATGCTCATCTGGTCGATAAAATATACGAAAGGGGTACACCAAATAATTTTGAATTATCACTTGAATAAGTAAGAAATTGGCATAGCAAGATCATGGAAAACAAGTGGCCTCAAACAAAGAAAGGAATGACAATAGCCATTCCTCATATGCAAACAGCTTGAAATTGAGTCAACATTTATTCTGAAGTTTGATTCACATACAAAAGCTATCTGAGAGCTACAATTTCCGAAATAAACTCAAGCCCTGTAATTTTTCAAAGCTTGAATGTTAACTATAATTTATAATCCAGATCTTAGTTTGCCCCCTCACTATATGATTTAAAAACATACTTTATTGTCAGAATAATTTTACTTAATGCCAGAATCGGTTATAACTATGAATCAAGAACCTTTCAACAACAACCAAGCCTTATTCCCAATAGATTCGGAGTGAGCTACATAAATACTTTTCCAACAGTTAATGCGGTTCATTGATACAACTTCTGGTAACCAAAACAGGCTACGTTTTTTGGTCTATCTTTTTCCCTGCACTAATGAACATTTGCTTATTTAGGTGTACATACATGCCCCAACCACCAAGTTATCAGTCTCCTAATTTATTCATTATTATAATCTCATTTCATATCTCATCCATTTTGATTCTAGGATTCATAATTATAATTCGTCTTATAATTTTGACCTTTTGCAGTCAAACACTCATTGCCATTAAGTATATCACGTCTAATATGTACAACTGGCCTCAGAGAGGGTTCTTGTAGTACTAAATCAGATGTTTATGCATCAAACTAGATTGACAAGACTATTTCGTTTAACAGCTTTCATTATTCAAATCAAAGTTAGACTTTTCACCACGGCAAAGTCTTTGAAAAATAAGCTGCGTTTCTTCAATTTTCACCTTTAATTTGCAGTAAATATTGATTATTTTTTAATAAACAATTTTCTTTTGCAGGCAGTTTAACAAGGACTATTAACATCGAGGGACTTTCAGCTGACCTTCTATGCATCAATAAATGAAATTAAAAAGAAGCCATAAGTTCGTCAGTGATACATAAAAAGTTCACAAGCTCATCTATGCCTATTTATTAACCTCGCGGACAGCTCACCAATCCCTTCAATTTTCATGCTACATTTATTTGTTTAGATTGAATTGCAAACACATTACAAGAAGTAAGATTCTTTGTGCTTTCTTTCTTTTCGATACACAACCAACACGCTATTCTTTTTTCATTTAGATTCTAAAAAAACTAACACATCCACATCATGCAATTTCCAATACTGAAATGGCATTCGAATTATGAAGGAAGAGCGAGTTATTTATTAAGCTAACCTCATTGAGGTCACGTTCCCTGGGAACCCACTGCTCCTGAGAACCCAAAACTCCAGGGTTCCCAGCCTCGTGAATTAAATCATGGTGAATCTCGTCATCACCTAAACTGGTGGCACCATTACTGCTCCCTCTTTCGCCTGCATACCCGCTGCTATGCGGACTAGAAGGTGCCTCCACTTCCTCCGCCTCTAAACTATTATATCTCCAGACTGATGAAGAGCTCATAATCACCCCAGAAGACGATTCTCCCATCAAATTACTATCACTCAAGACCACTTCTTTTGATCCACTTTCTTCATCCAACAAACCATTGGTAAATATTAGTCGCTCTTCTTGTTGATTACATGATCTTGTCTCGGCCTGAGAGGTAATTGAGATTGACTCCAATTGATTCTCTATTGCATCGAGCGAAAGATCAATTGAACCCGAGTTCGGGCTCAGGATCGCATTAGGGTTTTGATCATCGTTGTCGGAACCGGAATCCGAGGACATTGCTATACTTAGTATACTATATAACAATAGATATATAAAATGGATTGGGGGATTGTGAGAAATATTAGTTCAAGTATCAAAAAAGAGAAAATGATAGAGAAGAGGAGAAATTTGATTGTGAATTAGGTTGAAATGATTGGGAAAGTAGTTTAATTTACTATTCTGCAGGAGTTGGATGTGAAAAAGATTACGACGTCGTATGACCAGCAGGTGGGTTTGGTCTGCGGAGTAAGGCCCAACTATGCTCATTGGGCTGCTAAGCACGTGTAACGCCAAAAGTCAAATTTTTTTAAGTGGAATTTACATAATACCAGATTTTTTTAACTTTCCATTCAAAATTCAGATTTACAAGTTTTTATTTAAAAAATCAGATGATAATTAAAATTTTAAATATTATTATTGTTAATATTTAAAATTTAAACTAATCCATCGCAAAACCTAAAACCAATTTCAACTCTTTTCTCCATCTCTCCCTCTTCTCTCTTTCTCTACCAACCCACCGTTGTCGTGTCGCGACCACCGTCGCCATCCGACAACTCCACTCACCTTCATGTCCTCTCCTTTATCTATCAGATTTTGTATCTGTCAGCGAAATCCTCCGATATGTGACGTTCCTATCCTTCATCTTTGTTGACAGCGTAACCTCGTACCACCAACGCGATGCGGCCTATACCGCTGTTGCTCTCTCTCTTCCATCACTCGGTTGTTGATCTTTCTCCCCCACCAAACTTGCTGAGCATCCTGTGACTGTCGTTGAGCGCCTCTTGAAGCGGCACCGCAACAGTGAGTAGTGGCCATCGCGTCGTCGATAAGTGGTGGTGATGCTGGCGTTGCGATGACGCGGTGTGGAAGTTGTTGGCGGTGGTGGTGGTTGTTCATGCGGCGGCAGCGACGGTCATATATGGTGGTGGTTGTGATCGATTAATTGGTGGATTTGATCTGAGTACGATCGCACACAACCAGCGGCATTCTGGTTCTGGTGATGGTGATGTGGTGATGGCGTTTGTGGATCCGATTTGTTAGTTTTTTTGGGCGACCGTGGAGGTGATTTTCTTAGATCTTGTTGGTGGCTGTGGTGGCGGTGGTTTATTGGTGGTGATGGCGATTTTGTTGTTGTTTGGGTGGCGATTTTATTACTTGCGATTTGGTGTTTAGGCGGCAATATTGGATAATGTTGGTGACGGTGGTTTTGTTGGTGGTTGGATGGTGATTTTATTGATTTTTGGGTGATGATTTTGTTGATTTTTGGGAGGCGATCTGGTGTTTAGGCAACAGTGTTGAATCTTGTTGGTGCGGTGGTGATGATGGTTTTGTTGGTAGTTGTGGTGATGATGTGGTGGTGTTGGCGGATTTGAAGTTGAAAATTTGTTGGAGGTGGTCGACGACAATGATGGTAGGGTTGGAGATTTTTTTGGGTTGTAGGATGGGGGTGGTGGTTCCGACGACAGGGTTTCGGTTGTCACGATGTTGGTGGCAGTGGTGAGGTGGTAGTCACAAGTGTTTGTGGTGGTCACAGATTATTTGGTTGTTTGTGACCATTAAATCGATTAATCTGTGATCGAAAAACAAATTGTGACCAATTAAAATGATAAATTGTGACCAAAACATAATGTGTAACCTAAAAAATTGTTAATTTGTGACCGATAATTTGATAATTTGTGAATTGTGACCTATAAATAAATTGTGGTGTTTCAATTTTTGATCGATGAACAAATTGTGATCTATAAATTTTTGGAATTGTGACGTTAAAATAATTTGAAATACATTAAATATGTGATTTGTGATCAATGAATAATATGTGACTTATTAATTTTATATATTTGTGACCAATGAAAAAATTGTGACCTATAAAATTTTCGATTGTGGCCGAGAAATAATTTGTCAATTAATTTATAATATGTGACCAAATTATCTGGAATTGTGACATTTAATATATTTAATTAATAAAATATATGTTTAATTAATTAATTTATAAATAAAATTTGAAAAAATCTGACATTTGAAATTTTAAACCTCAGCTTCTTAAATTTGAAATAGGTGAAATTTAAGCTCTTATTTATGAATTTTTCCCTTTCTTTAACTTATACGTGAAAATTAGGTTAATACCAATATATTCGTGGAAATTACAACACAACATGTATTTAAAGATGACAATTCTAAAATCAGGTATAAAGCTTAATTAAGTATAAATCAGGTATTAATTTCAAATCCTAAAAATCATTTCCCTATCTCCATCTCGCATCTCATCTCACTCTCTCTATCTTCACTTGCCACACACATGAACAGTGCCGAAGACATGGATGGCACCAAAGATATCACATCAACTCTCTCCCTCTCTATCTCGCGTTGGATTTTCATAGATGCGACGATTTCTTAACATTTTCATAGAGGGATTTCATAAGATCAAAACAAAATTTGGCCCAAAGGCAGTCGTTGGAGCCCCAAACGTGAAATCTCTCACCGACGCAACATTTGATGGAGCCAATTTTAGAGTATTACGTGCATCGCCAGATTCTCAACGCTCTCTAATTCTATCTTTCTTTTCTTTTTATTTAGCTTATGATGAATTAACACCGATCGATTTCGCAAGTTTGAGAGAATATTTTCATCTTTCCTTGAAGGTAATTTTTTAAACAGATACGTTCAATTAGTGCGACGACGGGTTTGGGGTTTTTATTTTATCGGGGTGGTGATTGCGATGGTGTTGAGTGGAGATGGAGATGGAGTTGTGATTGTTATTGTTGTTATTGGTGGTGATGGTGCATAGGTCATAGTCGATTGAGCATCTGTGACCAAATCTTTTGAATATGTGATCTGTCAAATGCGAGGGTTATATGTCAAAGTGTATAGGTCACAAGCCATTGGATCAGATCACATATTCAAGAAATTTGACCAGTCATTGGATCAGGTCACGATCACATATAACAAGGACCTTGTCAAAGTGCACAAGTCACAAGTAATTGATTCAAAAGATTTGGTCCTAGACCTAAAAGATTTGTTCACATACTATTGAATTAGGTCATAAGTCACATATAAACCTCCTTGTTTTCCTTTATACGGAGACCAATAGCTCGTCCAAAATTTTCCATTAGAACCTCTGTGTTCTTTACTTCTGATGAATACACTTCTGATCCAACCATTGGGCAGAATGGAACCTTCATAATACAAAAGTTAAAAAAAATCCAAACATCAATAATCAAGTCAAAGCTAATATTTTCAATAACGGGCAATATTTATTTGCTCAAAATCCATAAATACAGAAATCAGTAACACAGCAAAACAGAGGTAGAATAAACAAAGAGAATGATGACTAGAAATAAGAAATAACATATCCAATAGATACCTTGTGTTAACCTCGTTTTTCGAACCGTTGACGTGGACAACAGATTCCGGACCCACTCGCGTTCTCTCAAGCTAATTTCAATACGCATGTATTGATTATCAATCAATAATATCTCGAATTTGAACGTGGGAGAAGTTTTATAACACGAGAAAAATATGTTCAGGTTCCGACTAAAAATATATGAGATAAATTATACGATAATAAACAACCGACTAGGAATAAACAAAAGATCACACCCCAAACATTAAAAATCAAAGATTAATAAAAAGAAGGATAATGTATGGCTTGCAGTTGATATTTACATTACCCACAAAATGACACTAATTGAGGATGTTTATAGTGTTACATCTGAAATGGTGCTCATGGGATGGGGACACGTGGCTTCATATCTTTAACCGACTTATCTTATCCTAGGTATCAATTTTGATTCCACTAGCTTGTAGTGCATTAAATGTCCCCAAAAAAGTGACAGCCATCCTATAACCTATGCTAACAAGATTAACCTTTCCACTCATTACAAAAGTCTAATCAATTATTCTAAAAGGATTTCATAAATTCAAGATCTTCAAACGTTGATTGTCACCAGCCTTAGTTGAGTCTCGAATTCTACTTCGTTGAATCTCTCCACTTTGATAAAGAAATTTCGTTTGGACCTCGGATTTATCTTTAGCAGAGGGGCTTCAGCAGGGTCAGCCACATGAATCACTTCAATAAGAGTGGGCTTCGGTTGATCAAATTTAAATGGACTTTGGTAGGTCCTAGTCCACATGGGATGCCATATGGCCTTAGCGGAAAGGACTTCGGTGGGTCAACTGAGTCACGTGGGAGCCTAGGTAGAAAGAAAAAAAATCTCTTTTTTAGAGCACACCATACTGGATACAAAGTGGACTACCATTCTCCTAAGTTTGTAAGCTTCTTTATTATTGTCAGTGAGGGTTTTATCTTTAAGGGAGGCCACTGTAGGTTGCATCCATGGACGTTCCTTCTACCCACATTACCTATTTTCCTTTAGAGTTCTGAGAGATGTTTGATCAGTACAATCTAGTTTCGAGGCCTTGCTACTAGCCGTTTGGACAAGGCATCGATGTGGGCATTTTCAACACGCAGGATTAGAGTAAACTCAAATTTCTCAAAAGATGGGGGTAGATCCATCACCAACGTGAGGTACACGGCCATGCTCTTGTCTCTTGTTGTAAAGTTGCCTTTTACCGGCTAACTATTAGCTATAAATCACTGTTAATGAGTAACCTATTCACTTGCATTTCTTTAGCCGACCTTAAGCCAGCAAGTAGTGCCTCATATTCGGTCGTGTTGTTGGTAGCCTTGAACTCAAACCTCACAGCTCAATTGAGCCGGTGTCCCTAGGGGCTAACCGAGACCACACCCTTTTCTAAGCCCGTGTCTCTAGATGAACCATCCACGAACAAGTTCCACGTAAAAGCTTTCGTGGGCTCCATTATTTCGTCCATCTTTGGGACGATGGGAAATTCCGTCACGAAGTCTGCAAGGGCTGGCATTTGATAATAGTTTTTATTTTGAAAACAATGTCAAACTCACTGAGCTCAACTTCTCATTTTAGCAACTTTCCTGAAGCATCGGGTTTCTGAAACACTTGCTTAAGCGGGAAGTTGGTTAACACAAGTATTTGTGTGAGATT